TGGGGACAGCAAGGAGACCACGGCCGGTAGTCCCAAAGTATGGTCCTAGGGCTCAGGTCTCTCAGTTGGCTTTTCATAGCCGTCATTAAGAGTTGAAAAAGCAGGTCTGGGACAAGGTAGGGGTTTCGTAAACCGCAGGCAGAACAGTTGAAACTGGAAATAGCAGCAAGGCCAGGCGGAACTGGGGACAGCAAGGTGTCATCAATGCCCGGTAGGTCCTGACGTATGGTCCTAGGGCTCAGGTTTCAGAGAGAAAGAGAGAACGAGGAGAATTAGAGAGAGCATACTTAATTCAACAGGACACTGGAAAAGAACAGGAGAAGTACTCCAGGTATAACAACTAACCCAGCCCCCCGACACAATAAACTACTGCAGCATAAATAATGGAGGCTGAGACAGGAGCGGTCGGAGACACTGTGGCCCCATCCGAAGAAGAAAAAAAAACCCCGGACAGGCCAAACAGGAAGGATATAACCCCACCCACTCCGCCAAAGCACAGCCCCCGCACCACTAGAGGGGATATCCCAACCACCAACTTACAATCCTGAGACAAGGCCGAGTATAGCCCAAGAGGTCTCCACCACAGCACAAACCAAGGGGGGGGCGCCAACCCAGACAGGAAGATCACGTCAGTAACTCAACCCACTCAAGTGACGCACCCCTCCCAGGGACGGCATGGAAAAGAGCACCAGCAAGCCAGTGACTCAGCCCCTGCAACAGGGTTTTTAGAGGCAGAGAAAACCCCAGTGGAGAGGGGGAAACCGGCCCGGCAGAGACAGCAAGGGCTGTTCGTTGCTTCCAGCCTTTCCGTTCACCTTCACACTCCTGGGCCAGACTACACTCAATCATATGACCTATGAAGAGATAAGTCTTCAGTAAAGACTTAAAGGTTGAGACCGAGTCTGCGTCTCTCACATGGGTAGGCAGACTGTCCATAAAATGGAGATCTATAGGAGAAAGAAACCGCCTCCCGCTGTTTGCTTAGAAATTCTAGGGACAATTAGGAGGCCTGCGTCTTGTGACCGTAGCGTACGTATTGGTATGTACGGCAGGACCAACTCGGAAAGATAGGTAGGAGCAAGCCCATGTAACGCTTTATAGGTTAACAGTAAAAACCTTGAAATCAGCCCTTGCCTTAACAGGAAGCCAGTGTAGGGAAGCTAGCACTGGAGTAATATGATCAAATTTCTTGGTTCTAGTCAGGATTCTAGCAGCCGTATTTAGCACTAACTGAAGTTTATTTAGTGCTTATCCGGGTAGCCGGAAAATAGAGCATTGCAGTAGTCTAACCTAGAAGTAACAAATGCATGGGTTAATTTTTCTGCATCATTTTTGGACAGAAAATTTTGATTTTTTCAATGTTACGTAGATGGAAAAAAGCTTGTCCTTAATGAAAACACAGTCTCTTGATATTTATGTTCGTCAAAAGAGAGGATCAGGGTCAAGAATAAAAGAGTAGTCGAGTTAGTAGTAACGCCGAGGTGGTCCCCTTCACAGTTTTATTTGAGACCGACTTTAAAAACCATTCAAGGAATGAATGTCAGATTTTTTTTTGTTTAAAGAAAGATCTTCTTTGTTATTGCCGGACCTAGAAAACAAGCATCTCTGTTTGTTGTCCGAAGTTTTTTAAATTTTTAAAAGTTCAAAAAGTTTTCCAGCCATTCCACTTCATTATGTCTGAAAACCACAGGTTCTCGCGAGGGCAAAAATTTTGGAGGGCTCTCCACCATGTTTCATTGAAATGTACAGCTGTTTGTGTTGTCATTCCGCATAGCAGTGAAAGTTAACATTATGTTTCGAATAACATCCCCAAGAGGGGTAAAATATATAGTGAAAACAATATGGTCCTAAACGGAAACCTTGAGGAACACCGAAAAAATTGCTACAGTTGATTTTTCGTCGGAGGACACAGACCATTTCACAGAGGAGACAAACTGATATCTGTTCCGACAGGTAAGATCTAAACCAGGCCGAAAACTTGTGTGGTAGACCAATTATTTTGGGTTGTTTCCAGTTCTCTCCAAAAGGAATGTGGTGATCGATGGTTTTGTCAAAGGCCAAAAGCACTTAAGGTTAGTAGCACGAGGACGATGCAGAGCCTCGGTCTGAAGCCATTGTTTATAATTAAATTATATACTTTTTTATTTTTTTTTAAAAGGTTTGCATTTACCACCTTCTTCACAAGTGCAGTCTCAGTGCTGCATGATGGGGCTAAAACCAGACTGAAGCAATTTCGTTACACATTGTTTTGTCTTCAGAAAGGCAAGTTTGAGTTGCTGCGGCAAACAGCTTTTTCTAAAAAAGTTTAGAAGGGAGGGAGGAAAGGAAGATTCGGATTTTATAGATATGAGGCCGATAGTTTTTTATAATTTTCCGGGGGGTTCAAGGTTTTGGCTTTTTCAGCGAGGCTTTAATCACTGCCCCACTTTTAGTGGAGGGGAGTTGGGTTACACCATCCGGTGGATCGAGAGCTGTTTATTATTTCAACAATAGGAGGCCAAGCACAGGAGGAAAGCAGCTCCTTCAGCAGGGTTAGTCGGAAATAGGACCAGTTATGCAGCTTGATTGAAAGTTTTCGAGCCATGAATTTATTTCACATTGTGTCAAGAGATTATAGTACCTTACTAAACACTTAAGTGTCCCTCTCCCGGATTCCCAGGCCTCGGCCTGGGGTTGCCGGAGCAGCTATTTGCTGCTCTGGCACCCCCCCATGGTGGGGAACCAAGCTCCCCCCACGACCGCCAGAGACAGCGGGTCATTGACCACTTCGGATCACTTGAAAAACCCCTACTCCTCTTTCTTTAAGGAACCCGGAAATAGTTATAAAGCAATTCCCTTTCTACCCCCCCCTCACCCCCCCCACCCCCCATTAAAAAAAAAAAAAAAGCAAAGGAAAAAAAAAAAAAAAAAAAAAAAGAAAAAAAAAAAAAAAAAAAAAAAAAAGTGGGGTCCCATCTGCTATCATAAGTTGAATGCACCAATTGTAATCGCTTGGATAAGAGCGGGGTCTCATGCTTAAATGATTTTTTTTGTATGGTGTAAATGTAAATGTAAAAAAGACAGTTTGTTTTGGTTGTGTTCTAAAGACAGTCTTACTTTCAGTTTTGTGTTGTTGTGTTTGGTTGTTTCTAAGGACAGGTTTCGTGTGGTTCTAAGGAGTGTGTGTGTTCAGATTTTGACGCAGAAGAAGGAAAGAGGAATTTTAGATGCTAAGCTACAGGGGGACTTCTGTTTTTTGCTTTTAGCACAGCCAGACTGGAACCATGTTCCGGGGTGAGAGATTTCTTCAGACAGCATTGAGGAGAGGTACAACCACATCAGTCACTGGCTGCATCATAAGTGCATCGATGATGGTCGTCCCAACAGTGACCGTACCGTAAAACATACCCCCAACCAGAAAAGCATTGGGATACAGGAACATCCGCAACTGAGCTAAAGGGTTAGAGCTGCCGCTTTAAGGAACGGGGGGTACCCTCTAACCCGGACAACACCGGCTTTTATAAGAAAAATCCGCTATGACCTCCGACGAACCATCAAACAGGGCCAAAAAAGAGTCCAATTAATGTGTGTCTAAGATTGAATATCATACTTACACTGGGCTCTTGACGCTCGTCGGGATTCGGATGTGGCAGGGCATTTCGGATTGATTGAATGTGTTGGTGAAAAACTATTAAAGGACTACAAAAGGGAAGCACGCCGCGGAGAACCTGCCAAGTGACCAAACAAGCCTACCCAGATTGAGCGCCTCTAAAACCCACTCTATGCTCCGCCTTCGAGGCAAAGCGCAACACTGGAAGCAATGCAGGGAGAGCACCAGCTGTTCCGGCATATGGGGACATGTGATCACCGCTCTCTCTCCGTAGCCGATGTGAGTAAGAATTTTTAAGCATGGGTCAAATTCCAAGGGCCGGCAGCGGCCCAGGAGGATTTATTACCAGACGTGTACTACGAGCATATTGTGCTGACCCCAACTGGCAGTGGTCTTTCACTGACATTTTCAAACATGTTCCCTGACTGAGCTGTTATACCAACAATGTTTTCAAAGCAGACCACATAGCCCGTTGCCAAAGGACTCTAAGATAACCTGCCTAATGACTACCGACCCGTTAGCACTGACGTCTGTAGCCATATGAAAAAGTGCTTTGTTGAAAGGCTGGCTGTCATGGCTCACAATATCAACAGCATTTATCCCAGAGAGAAATCCAGAACGAAACCCCTTAGACCCACTCCAATTGGCATACCGCACCAACGAAATCCAACAGATTGATTGCTTTTGCAATTTCTTCGCACGCCAACACGGACCCTTTCCCACCTGGACAAGAGGAACACCTACGTTGAGAAGGGGAATGGCTATTCACTTGGACCTACAGCTCAGCATTCCAACACCATTAGTGCCCTCTTAAAGGCTCATCACTAAGCTAAGGAATCCTGGGACCCCGACGAAACACCTTCCCTCTGCAACCTGGATCCTGGAACTCCAGACGGGGCCGCCGGCACCCCAGGGGTGGTTAAGCGTTTAGGTTGGGGTACAACACATCTTGCCACACTGACATCAACCACGGGGGTTGCCCCCTAAGGGGTTGCGTGGCTCAGTCCCCCTCCGGTTACTCTCTGTCACCCATGACTGGCGCATGGCCGAGGCACGACCTCTCCAACACCATCATTAAGTTTGCCACGACCCACAACACGTGGTAAGGCCTTGACACCGACCAACGATGTTGAGTGAAGACAGGGCCTATAGGGAGGAGGGTTTGTCGTCAGAGGATCTGGCCGTGTTGTGAGGTTGCCAGG